GAGAGGGAGGGAGAAAGAGAGGAAGAGAGAGAAGGAGAAAGAGAGAGTGAGAAAGAGGAAGAGAGAGAAAAGGAGAAAGAGAGAGAAGAGGGAGGGAGAAAGAAGAAGAGAGAGAAGGAGAAAGAGAGAAGAGAAAGAGAGAAGGAGAGAGAGAAAGGGAAAAGAGAGGAAGAGAGATAGAGAAAGGGAGAAAGAGAGAGAGGAAAGAGAGGGAGTGTTAGGTATAACATTGATACCAAATATGGTTTGGGTGAATAAATATATAAAACTTAGATATCATGGTTTAAGTGCTTATCACTTTAAGCACAATGCAGCAGGCAATTAGCCGATTAAGGGTGCGGTTAGAAGTTACAATATAAGGAAGCATTAGAAGCTGGAAAGCTTACTGTCTGTTACTGACTGTCTGTCTGGCTGTAACTGTGTGCTACTGTAACTGTGTGCTGCTGCGACTAACTGTGATTACTGACTGTGAGTGCCTGTGACTGAACTGTTATTGTTTGCTACTGTTTGCTGATTTACTGCGTAAGTCTACTGAATATCCAGCATTTGTTTCTCTGGAGAGTGAAACCGGAGGAGGAGAAGATATCTTTATCGGCTGATAAAGATATTGCAAGGACTCTTAACTTGGACTATACTAGTGAGTCTTACTGGATGGAAATACTGTGAATGACTTAATGGACTGAATGACAATGCTTAAACTCTAACTGGATTAAAAACTATTTAAACTACAAACAGTGTTTGTGTTCAGTGTGTGTATACTCTGGGGCCCTTCCGCTCTCGTTTGGTTGCCTGGCTTGACTACTGCTGCAATACTCTGCTAGGGGTTAATCTCAAAACCCTAACAGGGAGAAAGAGAGGAAGAGAGATAGGGAAAGGGAGAAAGAGAGAGAGGAGAGAGGAAGGGAGAAAGAAAGGAAGAGAGAGAAGGAGAAAGAGAGGAGAAAGAAAGAGAGAGGAGAGAGAGAGGAAGAGAGAGAAAGGGAGAAAGAGAGAGGGGAGAGAGAAAGAGAAAAGGGAGAAAGAGGAAAAGAGAGAGAGAAACGTAGAAAGAGTGAGAAGGAGAAAGAGAGGAAGAGAGAGAGAGAGGAGAAAGAGAGAGGGAGGGAGAAAGAGAAAGAGGGGCAAAAAGAGTGTGAGAGGGAGGGAGAGAGGGGGACATGAAAGCCATTGCTTTGGAGATGCACATTGTCACCTCTGGGGTTCTTTGCTAGGAATGTCTTGACCTCCTTCCAGGACTGAACTTCATAAGACATCTGGGCCTCTGATTAGCTCAAGAATCGCAATACTGAGTGGCCAGCAGAATGAAACTTTGGCTGGGTCACACTGGCTCTAAATATTAAGATGTCCTGGCCACCAACAGAGGTCACTGGCCTTCCATTTTGGATCCAGCACCTGCGAGAAACCTACCAGCTGTTGGCCATTTCCCACCACCTCTCTATTTTCCCCAAATTTGGACACTGTTACTTAAGAGTTAACTAGTCCTGCTTAAATTGTCTCCTTGATGCACCTTGGGATAATTCCCAGGCTGCCCTTGTACCTTGTGGGTGCCTCTCCTGGTCATAGAGTTGCTCCACAGACTTTTGAAGACTGGAACAAAACGTTAGACATAGTTGGACCTTTGGCTGATCCAGTTTTGATTCCTCTGTTCCTTCGTTAAGGAAGTCTTGCGCAAATGCTCAGGTAGATGCTGGCCCAGGTAAATGGTCAGGTAGATGCTGGACTTAATATGCCCATCATATTACATCCTTCCGGGAACCTCTTGGGTACCTCTCAGTGGCCTTCAAGATCTGTTGTGTATTTTCCTAGAGAGGGCAACTGTGGGGAAACTGCCAGCTAGGCTGGAAGGAGAGGTCAGGCTTATGCCTCTTGCAACGGTGTAAGGATTCTAAGCTAGGTCCTTGCTTGACTCCTCCTTCCAGCCTTGCTGGCAGGTTCCCAGCAGCGTTCAAGCTGAGAGATCTAGGGGAAGTTTTTCTCTAAACGGAAAGGGCTTGTCTTATGGGGTTCACCCTCAACTGTTGGTCGTCTTTCTTGAGAGAAGTGGGAAGATGGCAACAGATCGGAGGTGGGGCTTCTCTTTCCCTTCAAACATCTGAAGAGAAGAAAGAAGAAACGCAACGCTTTCCATCTCCTTCTCCTCATAGATCTACGAGACAGAGTTGGAGAACATCGAAGACTTTGGAGGCCTTTCGGATTTCTGCCACACCTTTAAGTTGTCCCGTGGCAAAGCTCAGGATGACAGCGAGGATCCCACCGTTGTTGGAGAATTCAAGGTTTGGCCCATCACTAAAACCTAAACCAAACCAAACTAAAAACATCAAACTAAACAAAAATAAAATAAATAATAAACTAAACTATTACAATCAATACAATACAATACACATTATGCTAGGGATGCTCTCTGAGAGAAGGCAACCCCTGTAGCAGCCATACCAGAGACGATCCCAGCATCCTTCAGGAGTCTCTCTGCAGCATCTGGACCACAGCTGGCTCCAGCATGGAGCTGCCAGACAGACGTCCAAGCAAAGAGGCCTTGCTGGAAGACTCATACCTTTTCCTCTTCTTGCAGGGCTCGTTCAAGATCTACCCTCTTCCTGATGACCCCACGGTGCCCGTCCCTCCACGCCAGTTCCACCAGCTTCCAGCCCGAGGCCCCCAGGAGTGTCTCGTGAGGGTTTACATCATCCGGGCCTTTGATCTGCAGCCGAAAGATTCCAATGGAAAAGTAAGCTTGTGGATGGAGAATGGGGTGGAGAGGGGGATGACTCTCCAGGAAGCAGAATGACCCTCCAGGAAAGAAACTTCAAGGCATCTGAATTATCTGGGAAAGATTTCTCTCTCCGTTCCCTTGAGGAGTTCTCTATGTCAACTCATAAAGTATTTCTATGGTCTTTTTAGAGTAGCCAAGAGAAAGTGTGCTGTCCAGACAGTTTAGAGTTAATGGGATTTGGGATAGTTAGGGTTAGGGTTTGGAATTGAGAGCTGTCCCCTTAAGGGAATGCATCATGGTAAATGTAGTTAAGGTATCCTGGGAAATGTAGTTCATGTCATGTGACCACATCTGTAACCCTGATTGGTCACTGAATTGACCCTTGGTGGGTTGGGAGAGGTTTTCTTCACTCTTGCCTGAACTTAGCCTCATGCTAGCATCGCTACTACTATGGGATGAAATATGGGATAGAAAGATTACTATCATTTTACACTGTGATTTCAAACTATGCAAAGAATTGGACGTTAGATGCATCTCAACATAACTGTGAGTTACCTTGAGGATACCTAATATAATCCAAGAAAAGAAACTTTGTATGGAAGAATTTGTAGAGTTATTCTGTCTGTCTTTATATTCAGCAAGTGAATCAAAAGATAGAATAGAAAGGGAGGGGGGAGCAGTGCGGCAGCTTGCAAACCGAAAGTGCATTCCATAAATGTTTTCAAAGATAGTAATTAGGTGACCAAAGTTTCTGCCCTGTAGATATCTAAATGGGGGGTCAACCTATTTTCCAAAGAATCTGAAGTCAGGACAAGAAATAATGGATGGAAACTAATCAAAGAGAGAAGCAATCTGGAATTAAGCAGAAAGTTCCTATTGAGAACAAGCAACCAGTGGAATGGCTTGCCTTCAGAAGTTGCAGGTGCTGCATCATTGGAGGTTTTTAAGAAAAGATTGGACAGCCGCTTCTCTGGACTGGTATAGGGTTTCCTGTTTGAGCAGTGGGTTGGACTAGATGTCCTCCAAGGTTCTATTCTATTCTATTCTATTCTATTCTATTCTATTCTATTCTGTTCTGTTCTGTTCTGTTCTGTTCTGTTCTGTTCTATTCTATTCCATTCCATTCCATTCCATATATTCTATTCTATTCTATTCTATTCTATTCTATTCTATTCTATTCTA